AAGACAATAAAAAGAAAGAAATTCTGAGCATAGTAAATTATGGTATATTGGTAATACTTTTTTATCCTCAATTTACCAATTAATATTATTTTTAAAACAACACCAGTTGCTAACATTCCCGAATTATCATTTGTAGAAAAATTGTAATAATTTAGAAATATTTTTATGAGCAACCATATAACCGTCGCAAAATCGTCATTTTCTTGTAGTGATTCTCAAGAGAGATTGGCTAGACTATATATTGATGAGATTGTGAGATTGCATGGGATACCATCTAGCATAGTGTCACACATATACCCTAGATTCACCTCTAGGTTTTGGGAGAGTCTACAAAGAGCTTTGGGGACCCAACTTAGACTTAGTTCAGCTTACCACCCTCAAACTGATGGTCAGACTAAAAGGACTATTCAATCTTTAGAGGATTTGCTTAGAGCATGTGTGTTGGACCAAGGGGGTAGTTGGGATAGTCTTTTACCTTTGATAGAGTTTACCTATAATAATAGTTACCACTCTAGTATAGGTATGACACCTTATGAAGCCTTGTATGGTAGGAGATGTAGGACCCTTTTGTGTTGGTGCAATCCTGATGATAATGTTATCTTAGGACCTGAGATTGTGCAACAAACCAATGATAAGGTTAGATTGATACAAGAGAGGATGAAGACAGCTCAGAGTAGACATAAAAGTTATGCTGACTGGAGGAGAAAGGACTTGGAATTTCAAGAAGGTGACCATGTGTTCTTGAAAGTCACTCCGTGGACTGGGGTTGGCAGGGCGTTGAAATCCAGAAAACTTACTCCTCGATTTATTGGTCCTTTCCAAATTCTAAAAAGAGTCGGTAGTGTTGCTTACCAAATTGCTTTGCCTCCTAATCTGTCAAATCTCCATGATGTTTTCCACATTTCCCAACTTCAGAAATACATCATGATCCTTTGCATGTGATTGAGTCAGATCATCTTGAGGTTAAGGAGAACCTAACTGTGGAAGCTACCCCGGTGAGAGTCGAGGATCGAATGGTGAAGCAACTTAGGGGTAAGGAAATTCCTTTGGTGAAAGTTATTTGGGGAGGAGCTACACCTGAAAGTGCTACTTAGGAGCTAGAAGAGAAGATGAAAGCGTCATATCCATTTTTATTTGCTTCAGGTAATTTCGAGGACGAAATTTTTTAAAAGGAGGGGAGAATTGTAACACCCCAGTTTTTATTTCATTTTTTTATTTTATTTTATTAAGGGTATTTTGGTAATTTTTATAAATGTATAGGGCTGATTTAGTAGCTTGGAACGGGCTGTTCTGGAATTGGAACGGGTCGTTTCAAACTACCAAAATGTATGTGAGTTAGTAGCCCAGAACGGGCCGTTCTCAAGTTGGAATAGGCCGTTTCGGACTATTAAAAATTACCTATAATCTAAATGGGAACGGGCTTGGAATGGGCTGTTTCCAAAAATATGGTCGTTGTGAGTAATAAATGCACAACAGAACGGGCCGTTCTGGATGTGATTTTTACCCATGATTTGAGGGTCCAGAACGGGTCGTTCCGAATTTGGAACGGGCCGTTCCGGCGAAGCCTGATGCCTATAAATTGAGCTCTCTGCCACTCCCAAAAGGCACACCTCTCATTTTTTGATTTCTTTTCTTCTGCTCTCTCTTCTTTTCCTCTACTTTCTGCTTCAGACCGAGGGGAACCCAGCGAGGGAGATCAACCAGATCTTGTGTAGGTTCAGCTTCTACATATCGAGGTACGGGGGAAAAGGAGATTATTTATATGTAAAGTTACTTGAGGGAATTGGGTAGAGGAAGAGTACCTTAGGATTATGAGTAATTTTATAATTATTTCTGTTTCAGAATTATTGATCTTATGTAATTCTGTATGTATTTAGGACTATGAATATATGATTAATTTGTAAAAATGATGCTTTGGGAGAGGGAACGAAATTATAGAAAAGTGCCTGTAAGTTAGGTTTTGGAAAAATTGGATTATTTCTGTTTGAGGAATTAATGATCCCATTAGATTCTGTATGTGTTGAGGATTAGAAATATATATTTAATTTGTAAGAATGATGATCTGGGAGAGAGAACGAAATTGTAGAAAAGTGCTTGTGAGTTAGGTTTTGGAACAATTGGGGGTTTCACTGTTTATGTTAAAATTATATTAAATTGATAATTCCATTAATTATTATATTAATTTATGAATGTTATTGTTATATTACTTGATAAGAATTGATGATCTAGATGTGAATTGCTTGAGGGGTGTGTAAATCCTTATTTTGTTGGACTTATCTGTTGTGTATGTGATATGGAATTGTGTATGTAATATGGAATTGAGATATGAGATGAGATGTTGTGTGGATATGATTATGATTGTGATTGTGGTTCCTCACACTAATGACCAGGGATGAGACGAACCTTGAGTAGTGATGCTTCAAGGACGAGCGTGCCCCTGGCATGGTGTGGGATGAGTGAGGCAATTAACATGCATCACTTATGTCAAATATGACAGCCCTGGCATAGGGTTAATTGCAAGACTTGTGTGGATTGTATTGTGATTGTTGTTCCTCACACTAATGACCAGGGATGAGACGAACCTTGGGTAAGTGATGCTACAAGGATGAGCGTGCCCCTGGCATAGTGTGGGATGAATGAGGCAATTAACCCGTATCACTTGTGTCAGTTGTGGCGTGGCCTTGACATAGTGTTAATTGTAAGATTTATGTGGATTGTGATGGATTGATGTAATTGTGAATTGAGATGTGAAAATGATGAATGATTGATAAATTATGATATATATAAATGCTTGTAAATATTTTATTAAGTAATGAGTTATGATGAGATTACATTGTGGTGTGTTTGTATGTGCTTTGCATATATATATTTTCTTTTCTCACCGTATAAATTGTGGATGTTTTAGGAGGAAGATCCGGCTACGAGTGGCATCTAGAATGTCAACCGTTGAATTGTGGGTATGCTCTGATATTGTGACATCGGGGCAGAGGATTTTTAGGACATAGATTTTTATATGGATTTAGGATTGTAAATATTATTTTTGAAAACAATTTGTAAACTCTTATGTTTCATTTTTATTATTGTGGTTATTGAAGAATAATTTTAAAGATTCTCATGTGAACCCTTTTACCGAAATTAAAAAATTTATTTGTAAGTTTTCATTATTACAATATATGTGTTGGGGTAGTAAGGGTGTCACACTAAACATATCAATTTTGCAGTTGTGGTTGTTGTAAGTATTTAAATACTTTTTAATTATATTTTGTTAATTTTTTCTAACTTTGTTTCTAACCATGTAGAGTTATCCATAAATTGAGCGGGAATAAGGAGAATGATTACATATATGGATTTTTGAAACCTGAGTCAATCTAAAAAAGTGGGAACAAGGCTAAAGAAATACAAGCTTAAATTTAAAATTGGATTTCTTAATGTAGTGCTTATTGGCAACTTTTAGTTATTTGTCCTAAGGACAACATAGTTGTATGCATTTGCTCATTGCATAATCCTCCTCTTGTGGACTTTAGACAATTATTAGATAAGTTGTTTAAAAACATCTACTTTCTTTTATTGATTATCATTATATTTGACTTTAAACTATTATCATAATATCATTTTATCATTAAGGTGATGGAAGGATATCATATACTTAAGGGTTCAAAGTTGAAGAAAAAAATGAGTTGGGTCTCTCCTAAAGTAAGATTTTAATTCTAGCAATGATATTTTTTTAAGTAATTTTGTTTTGAATTACTATTACTATTGAAATTGATTTTATATTCTTTTTGTAGTCTCATAAACAGAAAGGAAATTTTGAGTGCGGATACTATGTAATGAAGACAATGCATACTATTGTCGATTCACAAATAGTATCTGGGTGAAGTAAGTTTTACAATTTTGAAAGTTTTTATTTTAAGTTTTCATTTTATATATTTTATGAATTATTACTAATTGTTTTAACTTTTCTTAATAGATATTTATAAATTGATCACCATTATTACTAGAAGACATAAATGCCATTAGGGAGCAATGGGCCATATTTTTTATTGACCATTACATTAAATAGTTTGGGCTTATGTTTTATAGTATTGCTTTGACTGGTTAGGACTTACATTTCATTGAGCAATGTGGTCCATTTATGTATTACATGTATTTAAAACTATTCGATTATATATATGGTTGACATTTATCATCTCTTCTCATTTGTATGCAATTTGGTTCATTGAGAAGTAACATAGAAAATATGGATATTTTGCTTAATTGGAAACATCTGAACTGCTTGGTATTTATTCATTTGCAGGTTTTGTTTTGAGACTCTCCCAAAACAAGTCAAACATTTCAAAACAATTCACCACTTTTAAGATCAGTTATGCAATAACCGATCTTAAAAGTCCTAGTTTTTAAAATCGGTTATTCCATAACTGATCTTAAAAGTGCACTTTTTAGATCGGTTATTTTATAATTGATCATAAAAGTTAAGACTCTTAAGATCGATTACGAAACAACCGATCTTAAAAATACACTTTTAAGATCGGTTAATAACCGATTTTAAAAATCTAGCTTTTTAAAATTGGCTCTTTTAAAATCGGTTAAAGAACTGATTTTAAAAGTTAAAAATAACCGATTTTAAAAGTCTTACTTTCACTATAAGCCCAAAAAATACACAAAAAGAAAAATTATGATAAAGTATCTATACTACTTGACCAAAAATATATGGCCTAAAAATAAAGAAAATATCTATAAATGTACAAGAAGTATTTGAGTTATATATATATTTAGTATCCTATAGCTCAAGATTAGCTTAAACCGACTAACCTCGTTATGGGTCTCATCCTCTTAGATCCTCCTAGCCAAGGCATAGCCCTAGTAGTAAGACACTTAGTTATGCCTCTTCTATCAAATTTTATGCTTAAACATTATGAAACTAATTCAATAATACTTAAAACTTTGAAAAATATAAAAGTTGATAGCATAAAAATCTCCCTAAACAGAGAAACATATTCCGGGTGCTTGGTATTAGTGCATAAGAATAATGTGGGATAATAATGATAGTCAAAGGTTTCAAAGGTGTTAATAACATTATATGTCAACATATCAAGCATGTTAGTGCTAATGTCTCAAAAATATAAAACGGTACTAGTAGGCATAAAAAAATTGAGAATATATTGCAGGCAAGGCTAATACAAGGTTTAATACAGAAAATACAATCCCCATTCCATTTGACATTTGATTTGCACAGTATCCTTGTTAGTGGCTGAAAACTTATTCAAGAAAATAGTGAACAACATTGGAAATCTCATTCTAGCCAGATGCAGAGAAGTTTCAAGCAATTGCATTGCAACCACAAAAAAAAAAAAACAGCAGAAAAGAAAGAAAATAGCAAAGAAAAGGGGAAAAAATTGAGACAAAGTACCTATGCACAACAGTTTATGTTAGTCGAAAGTCTCGCAGGCCTCTAGCTCTATTTAATTGTGCTACAGATCATGCTGAGGAGTTTCTCTAAGGTGAGAGTTCTGAGTTTATTTAGCTGTGAGTTCCACAACATTAAATCTCACTCCTCATCTTAAAAGCTTAACCAAACAACCTGAGACGTGAAAACATAATGATAATGATGTAACTGAAGACAATAAAAAGAAAGAAATTCTGAGCATAGTAAATTATGGTATATTGGTAATACTTTTTTATCCTCAATTTACCAATTAATATTATTTTTAAAACAACACCAGTTGCTAACATTCCCGAATTATCATTTGTAGAAAAATTGTAATAATTTAGAAATATTTTTATGAGCAAATGTCTAATCTCAACATTTGGGCTCTATGTTGGAATTCTTGAATATCTAAATCTCCACTTGGCAAACGTATGCTATATTTGCATGAATTCAGTAAAACAATTGATATTTGGTTACTTTCGAAGTTCATACAGAATAAATAAAGTTCATCCCGAAGCTTGTAATTGTTAGAACACAATGAAGTTAAAATTAACCGGTAGGACAACAAGATCTACATGGAGTTCAAAATTGAAATGTTTCACTACTCTAACATATTCAAAATGTTCTTAAATGTGACGATGAATGTAAAATTCTAATGGAACCAACATGCTCATGAATGTAAACTTCTAAAGTTTGGTTCAAAATTTCTTAGAATAATGGATTCCAACGGATACCAACATACAACATCCTATGAAAAATGAGAATTTGAGTTCCATCCACAATTATGTGTCTTCGATAATTGAGTCACACTCACTATATATGATTCTCATAAGTGAAATAATGATGATTCACGATCTAATGTAGGAGATATAAGCCACTAGAAATAGCATTTTCTAATGAAAAAAGATACATTAGTTCATCAACACCGATGTAATTGCTTGAGAAAAAAAACCAAGTTCAGAACAAAACTATACTCATGGGCAACTAAAAACAAATCACATCTGCAAAACTAAACAGTAGCATAAAAGAAGCAACAAACAGAAAATTTATTGGGATCAAAGATTTTGAAAATACAAAGCTGCCAAGTGTATCTAGTGGCCTGCATTCCTCAATTACATATACATAAATATAAAAGTTGATAGCATAAAAATCTCCCTAAACAGAGAAACATATTCCGGGTGCTTGGTATTAGTGCATAAGAATAATGTGGGATAATAATGATAGTCAAAGGTTTCAAAGGTGTTAATAACATTATTGCCCAAAGTTATATAATTATTCAGCAACTCAGCATTATTATTATTATTATTATTATTATTATTTATTTATTTTTGCTTAAAATTAGACTTTTATTTTAACTAAAAATATTTCTAAAAAGTATTATTAAGACATGTTTATTAATTATATTTAATGTGACTAAAACTTAATTTTAGTTGGACATAAGTCTCCAACAATTCTCTAAACCAATTTCATTCCAAATTAGAAATTTAACTTGATTACCTCTGCGTTATGAACTCTTTTTATTTATATTGTAACACATGGCCTTTATAATTTTTCATGTTTCAATTTTCTGAAATATAAAGGAAAAAGATCAAATTTAGTTGTTTTTCCTGAGTCACAATTCAAAATCATGACTGTATTAATTTTGTTTTGTCTTGAATTATGTAACCCCTGTCAAGAATAACGTTGGAACGAATCTAAATGGTTTCACCATATATTATCACATTTTAACACTACAATTTTGTTGTTGATTGATGATCGCACATCTTCTTACACAAATAATAAAATTTTGAAACAAGAGCTTATTTAATAAGCACTATAAATTAATTCTATTTTTGAAAACTTCAATAATATTTCAAAAAGTTGCAACAAAATCACATTAAAATCTATTAATAGCCTTGTTCAAATTAATTTTGCACCATCACCTTTTAGCCAAATTTATTCCCTCCCTTCATCTCCACCTCACTTTTGGTATCCTTTTAGTAGTGGTGGAAACACCTTTATATAAATCTTTTTCCTCCACCTTTGCAAAATCACAGGATCTTTAATTTGTAGGGCTTTACTCTTCTTCCTTGGTGGTGAGGTCATTGGCCACCGTGTTGCCCCCTCCATATACATTCTTCCTTTAAAGGTTTGTTGTTTGGATTGTATTTCAAGAATTCCTCCTTTGTCATGATTTTTTACAGTACAATGGATTGTTTAATGTCCTTGGTTGTAAGTGAAATTGTTGATATGGTATCAGGAAATTGGCTTGATACATCACATTTATGAAATTATAGTTATAATGAGAGATAATAAATGATTTGATTCAATTATATATTATTTGTAAGAACTAAAATGTTTATAGGATTAGAAGTTGAATTTATATGTGCTTTTGGATTTTTTTTAAAAAGAAATTTCCCGAAAAAAATTGTCTTATTTGTAAGATAAGTTTGTTTACAAAAAATACACATGACATTTTTTTTCTTCGAAAAAAATGTCACTTGTATCTATAAATGGTTTTGCATCTTATCTTGTGAAGCAATCCATCATTTTTATCACCAATGAAAAAATTTAACACTAATTTGACGAGTGCTTTTTATGTTATTCTTAAATTATTATATGGTGACATACACCATATAGTGATACATATACTTGTCACTAAAAATTATTTTTACTTACACTATAGATACAATATATATTGATATATTATTAAAAGGTGTAGGTATATTTTATAATAACATACAATATATGTTGAATAATCTCATTTAAAATCAACAATGAAATTATATGTAGTTATATGTCAAATAGATTTATAACTAAATATATTGTATCTATAGTGACTCTTTTTATATGTCATTATATGTAATATTTCTTGTAGTATTAAAATTGAAAGTTTATCTCTATATTTTTCATCATAAATGTATACATTAAATGGTGACATAATTTCTCAAATTTTAGTTGTCTTTTTACCAAAGAACAAAATGAGTAACTGATTGTGTGATTATTGTTTACTTATTTCAACGTTGGAACAAAACAATGTTGATGTACACAAACATATTTTCTTTCTTTTACAGGTTTGAAAGTTTCAAGTAGAAAGAAACTTGAATACTTTCAATAAATCCTTGCTTCTTCTAGAAATATATATCGAATAATTTGGAATGGGGGCAACAGAGGAGACTAAACAATATCCTATGAATAACAAAGTTGTTTTTTCCGAAAATCCAATTATTATAAATGTTAGTGATGGTACAAAAAATATAGTTAATAATAATGTTAGTCGTGATGCAAAAAATTTAGTCAATATTAAAGTTAGTGATGATGAAAAAAACCCTATAGTAAATGGTAGAGAAGGTGTTGAAGAAATCTATGCTAAAAATAAGGAAGATTGCATTCCAAGTGAAGCAAAAGATATGCTGAAATCATTAGCAAGTGAATGGGAGAATGTAGTTGATGTCAATGCATGGCAAGTGATCCAACTTAAGGGGGCAATGACAAATGAAGTGTTTCAAATAAAATGGCAAACAATAGATGGAGATATCTCACGAAAGGTTCTAGTGAGAATCTATGGACAGGGTACTAGCATTTTCTTTAATAGAGATGTTGAGGTTGCAACATTTGAATTCATGTCAAAGAATGGACAAGGACCTCGTTTGCTAGGAATGTTTGCAAATGGGCGTATTGAAGAATTCATTAATGCAAGGGTAATAACATCTTTACTTTTTATTATTCATCTTAATACTTTATGGGAAATGCTATAGCATTATTCATTTTAAATAACTTTTAACCATAGGGTTAAATTTATTTTGACTCTTAATAATTGAGATTCATTAAATAAAGGGCAGGAGTAACACTCATGTTGTCTAATACAATTAATCCATAAATTTCACTAAATGAAAGATTTCAAAAGGAATGTATTAGACAACATATTGAAGAATGTGTTATTAGCATTTTTCTTTTTTATAATTATATTTTATTAATAAATAATCCTCAAAATTATAATCCACTTCCCTATATCGAAACTAAATATTAACTATTTTTAATGTATATCCTTGAAATGTGAATCAAATTATTGAATTGAAAGTTAGGATAAAAAAAAACATGTTATTCATCATAACAAGATCGTGACTTTTTAACATGGTTTTAGAAAGAAATAAAATCTCTCTTATTTTCTAAATATATATGCCGCATCCTTGTCTTTTTTCATAACAAAACTACCTTTGAGCAAGTCATTATCATATAGACAAATTGATGAGTGAAAATTTGTTGATTGAATGCAATGTACAACTGATTTTACATAAAATAACATTTTATATTAGATATGATAAATTATACTCGTAAATTTTAATCATTGTTTTTATTCATTTTATATTATCCCATTTATAAACTCCACAAGCTAACACATTGTGTTGAATTTAATAGACATTATCAGCACTAGATCTACGAGATCCATCTATTTCTTCTCTAATAGCAACCAAAATGAAGGAGTTTCATGATCTTGATATGCCTGGTCCAAAGAATGTGAAGCTTTGGGATAATTTAAGGTATGTGTTTCCTGAAAAACCCTAACTCATCTCACAAATTTATAAGGAGGAATTTGCTTATATGACAAATAGGAATATAGTTAATATAATTTTATTACTTCTAAAGTAATTTTATTTTTATGCTTTAGGAATTGGCTTAATGAAGCCAAGCGCGTGTGTTCTCCTGAAGAAATCAAAGCATTTCATTTGGACACATTGGACCAGGAAATATCTACTTTGGAAAATGAATTATCAAAGACTCAACAACGCATAGGATTTTGCCATAACGATTTGCAATACGGCAACATAATGCTCGATGAAGAGTCCAATTTTGTGACCCTAATAGTGAGTTTTTCTATACGTATGCTATTTTGTTACAAATACTTTCATAGAAGTACATTAGAATTTTATCTCAGCTTAATTATACTTTAAGTTCTTTGTGTTTGTATTACACTTGATATTTGTTTCTTAGTTGTCTTAACAATATTAAGCTTCTCAATTTTTAAAAAATACACAAATTTAATTTATCTACCAATTTATTTTTTTTTCTAATTAGAAGCTTTAAATTCTCATTTTTTCCCTAAAAAATTGTATTAATTAAAATTTTCTAACTTTTATTTTCTCAAAACATACTAATCAAAATGTTAAAAAAAATTCAAAATAAAAAATTTCTCAAAATTTCCCTTTTTAAATCTTAATCTTACATCTAATAAAATCTTTTGAGTTTTATTAAATTTTACTAAGTAGTGACTTAAAGATGTAAAATTATTTTATAAACCAAATTTATCATAAATAGCAAATATTTATGTAAATAATGAGAAATTAAAGACTTTTATAGAAACAATCGACAAACAGCAAGTGGTGAGATTAGGATAATATGTACAGAATTTTAGGTTTAATCCTTGATTATTATTGTCATTATAATTTCTACAAATGAAAAAAATGAATTTATAAAATAGAACAAAATTTCTTTATTTAAATGAGACTTAACTACCTAAGAAAATTCAGACTAATTAAAATCATTCATAATCCAATATTTTGATGTTCAATACAAAATTTAGGAGTATAATATAATTTATGATTGGTTTTGCACATATAATATAATAATATTATTACTAAACTCTTAATATTTTAACTTTGTACTTTTATAACAGGATTATGAGTATGGAAGTTATAATCCTGTGGCATATGATATAGCAAACCATTTCAACGAAATGGCCGCCAACTATCATACAGAAACCCCACATATTCTCGACTTCAGTAAATATCCTGGTATATGAATGACTTACGAAATTTATTCTCATTGATTTTCTTTTATCGTGTGCACATGAAAATAACTTGACTTATTGTTTCTTTTCTTGACAGATTTAGAGGAGCGCCGAAGATTTGGGCATGCATATTTGAGTTGTTTGTCAGGTAACATTTTAATTATTATGTTTAAAGATTGTAGTGTATTGTTTTTATTTGACATATAGCTTCAACACTAAACTATTTAAGAATGTCTATGATAGAGGGATTCACTTACTTCCAGAGTAAGTTTTATTAGATTTATTATACTTAATAACTCATGTTCTATATTAAATTTTAATAATCTAACTATTGAATTAAGAATTCTAAATGAATAGATCAAGTCTGTAAATTTTTAAAATTTTTGATAATCATAGGATACTTCTTTATATAAATTTAAATGAACTTACAAAATATTTTTATGGTTATTCATCAATTTGAATTTATAAAGTGAAGTATCATATTTTTTTAAAATTTGTTAAATATTTTTAGATTTGATCTATATTTTAAGAACTTGTAATTAAATGATTAGATTGTTAAAATTTAATATAGAGTATGAATTATTAAATAGAGTAAGTATAGCTATCACTACAAGAAAAACACAAATTTTCGACGGAAATAATCTGTCGGAAAGAAGGAAAATTCGTCGAAAATTCTCTATTTATTTCGATGGATTTTCAATTTTCCACGAATTTTCGACAGATGCAAATCTGTCAGAAAAATGGGCGTCGAAAAAAAAAATCGTCGAAAACAATTTAATCCGTTAGAAATTTCCGATAGATACATCCGTCGAAAATTACCAACGGTTACATCTGTCAAAATTACTGACGGATATATCCGTTGGAAATTGTTTGAAAATCTTTATATGATTCCAACGGATAAATCCGTCAGAAATTTTTTTGTGTAATTTTAATAAATTTATTAATGTAACAATCTTCATATTTGGCCTCTCAAGGATTCTATTTCATGACACTTCACTTTTCAACGTGTTTTGTCCTTACTGCACAGTTTTTGGTAATCTTACTAGAAAGTAACTCATCCCTATATTACTCCAAGTCAAACACGCTTAATGTGGAGTTCTGATAAAATAAACTACAAAAAGGCAGATGCATGTTGTCAGTATAGGTAGTACAAATTAATTCATTTAAATCATCCTCAACTATACAATCTCATACTTATACTATCTTTGGATCCCTCTAATTTTGGTGTATCCAGACCGTTATAAAAATATAATAATATATATAATAATTATATTACCAATAATAATTATATTACATTTAATTATTCTTTATTGATATATATATACTTACTTTTATAATTAACAATCTACTTATTTCTATTTAAAATTAATATTATGATACAATTTAAAATATTTATTATAAATTTAAAAGTTTAAATAATAATTTATATACTTTAAAATGAGAAGGGTTATAATAACACCGGTGTAACTTTTACTAAGTATTACATCGCTCAATAACTTTATATTAAATGTGAATTTTGTAAATTCAACCGTTAGATTGAAAGTTCATATCACTTTATATGTTTATATCAAATTTTGTTAAAATTGAACAACAACTTTTAGGTAATCAAAGTGTTCATATTTTAGTATATTTTGAAATGTATATATTATGTAAATTTTGTTTTACGAGAATGAAGTATTAAATCATCTTGAATTAATATAAAATTTTGTATATATGATCTAAGAGTAAAAAACTTTCAATCTAAAGGTTGAATTTATAAAATTCACATTTAATATAAAATTATTGAGTGGTGTAATGCTTAGTAAAAGTTATACTGGTGTTATTATATAACCTTGTCTTTTAAAATAATTTTTATAAATTAAATTTTAACATTTTAAATAAATTATTAATTAACTTAATATATTTATTCATCTTAAATCTAAGATATAAAATTAAAAAATGTATTTATCCTTGTTTTATTTTCTAATTATCAACCATTAATAAAATACTAATTTAAAATCTTATCTAATTATATCATAATATTTTTATATCAAATTTAAAACTAGATATTAGTTATACAAAAATATCAAGATCATATAGTAAATTGTCAATAAGATTCTAGTTAAATAATTTAAAATAATTAATTTTTCAACTTCATTGTTTACAAATAATTTATTCCAAAGCTAATCAATTTTTTTATATTAATTATTAGTAAAATTTAATAAATTTTAATTTAATAATTGGATTGATGAAGTTTAATAACTTTTAATTTATATTACTGACGGAGTCGAAAATATAAATTTTCTGATGGATTTATATCCGTCAGAAATGATCCGTTAGAAATATAAATTTTCCGATAGATTTGTATCCATCGGAAATTACCGACAGATATATCAGTCGAAAATATAAATTTTCTGAAAGATTTTTATCTGTCAGAAATATAAATTTTTCGACGGATTTTTATCCGTCGGAAATATAAATTTTCCGACGAATTTTTTTCGTCAAAAATATAAATTTTCTGACAGATATGTATTCGTCGAAAATTATCCGTTGATAATTTGTATTTTTCTTGTAATGTATACTTAATTTTAAAGTAAGTGGATCCCTCCTCATTTTATTTTATCTAATATTCCCTTTCTAATACATTATTATCTATTTGTCGAAATTCATGTTCACTCTATTAATTTGAGAATGGAACACGTCAAATGGAGGATGAGATCTTCAAATTTAGTGGGACCATATGAATTTCAACCAATAAAAATGAGCTGTAAAGAGAAATTATTAAATGGATTGCGACTACCAAGTATTTATAATTGTGGTTAATTTTTACATGATACTCAATTTGGTTTTTCACAAAATAAATAAATAAAATTTCACCTCATGTCATGTGAATTATTTGAATAATAATAATTTCAAACTATTTAATAATTTCTTAATATATTCTTAATTAGTATCTCTCTATTTTATTTTTTCAAGAAATGATTTCCTTTTGAATTATAAATATTGTTTTCTATTACATTTTAAGGAAACAAAATTCATCAATTCAATTTGGCATTGTATTTCATCACATGAATATATGTGTCACCTCTCCTTAAACCACCATGATTATTATATTTTTGTCTTGAAATTGTTGGACATGGAAACAGGTGAACAACCTAATAATAGTGTTGTGGATCAACTACTTGATGATGTTGAAAAGTATGCACTGGTGAATCATCTATTGTGGGGCGTGTGGGGAATAATTTCGGTATCTTCACTTGCTCACTCTAACATTGGTTATTTATATTTAAGCATCTTAGCATGTGAATTATTTCCAAATTATAAACACGATGAAGGATTAATTAAAAAGAACCATAACCATAACTAAAATTACAAGAGGTTTGTCTCCATTCAGCCATATTTATCCTCATTTGAACAACATTATTCCTTTTTAGTCTTTGAATACTAGGTTTTCATTTACAGCTTCAAATAGATCATTTAGTAGTATCATTTTCAATCATATTACCTTTGAAACTTTTAAGTTCATGGAATAACTGAATTGTGGAATAAGGAATTGGATTTATTAAACTCATGGAAATATTAATAAACAAATTGGAGCTTTATATTGAAACAAGTAGTTTCAATGACTAAAGTATTGTAAACAATATTGCTAATTAAGAATCCTTCTCAATAATAGATTTTTCATATGGGTGTAAAATATTTATATGTTGTATCAAACCATCCTAAGAATCCCTTATGCAGGAACATGTAAATAAAATTGATTTTGACTATAAGGAGTATGCAAAACAAAGATTTCAAGAGTATTGGTCAAGGAAAACATCTCTTTTGAGCTCTCAAGGATCTTTCCATGATAATGTGACTAAAGGTACTGGCTTAATTAATACTAAATAGATGGGAGTTGTTTTGTACGCGACATTATTAATAATTGTTAATAATATACACATAATATTATAATTGTTAATAATATACACATAATATTATGTGATGATAGTCCTTTATAATGAGTTATATTATAATATATGTTAGGATTGTAGATCTTAATTTAGCCAATTGATGTCTTTCTGGATGTACATTGTCACATTAATTTCTTATATTGACAATGGATAAGAGTTTTTAAGCTTTTATTGTTCTTTTTGCCTCTACAACACCATAATTAAATAGCACTATAGTTAAATTGATGTTGTTTTCCGTGTTAAATTTGAAACTACGAATTATGCTTCTTCAAGAATTTTTTTTGTTTGATATACATTTTTTAGGGTGAGAATAAAGCAACTATGTCAACTCTTAAGAAGGAAATGTATAATTTTAAAGAATTGATTATATTTTTATTCATAAATATAGAGAGTTTTGATTTTAGTTATTTAAAACACATTTTTCTTAGTTCTTGGTCCTACAAATTTTAAAAGATTTGTAAATGTTTTCTATCACCATTTAACTTACTGAGTATGACACATGAAATATAATTATACATACCAAATCACATGTTATCTCATAATAGTCACTAGCATGACATGTCTTTGTGTATGTCACATCATCACTAAATAATTAATGACAAGAATCAATTAAAAAAAATATTAAGACAGGCAATAAAAAAATTGAAGCACGAATTATTATTAAAATTTTATATTTAGAAAGATGAACCTTTTTAAAATATTTTTTGTTTTAGAATTTTTCTAAGATGTTAAAATTAAATCCTACCACCATGGCACACATTTTAATGAAAAATCTATGCCTACGATTAATTTAGATAAATATTTTTCGAACTTATAGTTTAAAATCAATTGAATTAAATTAATTCTATATAACTTTAAAAAGAAAGTAAGACTAAGTAGGTGTTAATTGAGCTACAAGTTTGTTGATTAAATGTGTACGATGTACTTATCAATTAAACATGATAGAAAATTAATTGGAATACCGGAACTACCATATTATGTCATATTCTAAGTTTTCTAACCAGTTATTGGTTTGTAGGGGAGCAAGCACCAACATCAACCACCAACAGAAAACCAACTAAGAGAAACAGTATCTCCAGGAAGTTCAAGAAAGTTTTTGGAATTGGTTTATTTAGATTAAAACACTAGAGCAAGGTTTTGAAAAATTTATTCCTTTATTCTTACCTTAAAAGGTGAAAGTAGAAATAGTCATTGGAAAATATAGAAATGTATCATGCTTATGTTAATTTTTCTGTTATTTTATTTTATTTTTCCTTCATTATTCTCTCTCTTTTGGAAAAATCATAACCTCACTAGGTAATAGAAGTGCCATAATATATAGAACATGTATATGAGTGCAGTATCCATATCAGGTATGAGTACAATTTTTTATTATTATTAAGAGTACACAAATTTTCAAAAAAGAAGGGTACAAGTATGTTAATATAAATGTATAGAATATATATATATATATATATATATATAAAGAATAAAATTTTATATAAACATGACTTAATTATATAAATAATAAAAAAAACATTATCATAATTTATAGCATAAAAGAAGATTAAAACCTTAAACATGAAAAGAAAATCTAACAATAAAACAATGATACATAAATGTTATAAACATGTCTATGATATATAAAGTATTAATCTCATCATTCCCTAGTTGATCATAAATAAAAAAAGATAATATTAAAATTTAATTTATCAAATGAAAAAAGTAGCAAACTTCAACAATGTCAACTCGTTCAAATGAATATCATTCATCTTCACCAATATTCCACATTTTACTCAAACTCTCATTATAACTCTTACTCTTTAATTAGATGAGACAAAATATTCGTGTATAAAAAATAAATTTGTAAGAGTACATATTCACAAGTGTACAACATGAACATAGTTTGGATACATATCGAGTACATGTATTGTACAGATTTATGAGTATTTTCGAAGCTTATCTACCTTTCAATCAACAACTTATAATGATAATTAAGAGTTTATTTGTAACACTGCGACTTCTCTAAAAATATTATTTATTTAATTATCATTTAGTATAAGGCAAATATGACACGAATCCTACTAGGCACCTCAAAGATTCACTAAAGAATAATAGATCAAAATATTTTGTGACACAAGTCGCACTTTCCTTACTTTGTCATGTGGAAAACTCTTATTCTCCTAGGCCTAAGATGGTGAAATGAATCACATTTTCCTTACTTTTTCATGTGACAAACTCTTATCAAATCTCCTAGATCTAAGATAGTGACATTTAGGAGAAAATTTTTGAATTTGAATTAGTAATTGAGGTTAGTAGTCTTGAGTTCAAGTTAACCTAACCTAGGTTACATTTAACCTAGGTATACTTAACTTGCATCACAAGCTACCAAACCTTATATATACTTGTACCATTTAGTGACCAAACCACTTTTGAGAATTTTTTAGAAATAACATTTTATTTTCTCCTCCAAAACTCTTAGTTCTCTCTCTTAGAGATAAATCTCATTATGAACTTTTATCAAGGATTTTCTCCTTGTGGAAAGTTCTTCACCATTTTTTCTTATCTTATTTAATCTAAGAAGTGGTGTGCCTTACCTCTTCTTCTCCATTTTTTTCAAGTTTGGAAGCTTTGGAATCCATAGAAGATGATAGGGAGCATTAAAGAAGCTAGATGAAGAGATACATCCATTATCTCCAAGTTAGTTTCATCACATGCGTTTCTAGATTGCTTCGATGTCAAGCACCTAAGGCGATGTTGAGATTGGTTGTAACACTAATGTTTAAGGTAATTGTTTAAGGAGTGTGGAATAAAGAGTTGAGGTTAATGATTGGTTCAACTTCAAGGAGGGAGTTTTATAGAGTTTTTCTTGAGAGAGATAGAGGGATTCTCTTTTTCATTCACCATTTTAGAAGTTTTAAAGAGAAATCAAAAACTCTTTTCTACTATTGTCTTAAAATTTCCCTTTTTCTTATTCTTATAGTTGATCCATCTTGTTGAGACTATGATTTGAAAGCTTAGGTCCTAGTATTCCAAGTCAAAATTCGTATGGAGTCAACTTATCTCCTCACATTTTTTGGTTTTGGTTCTTCAAGAGTTAAGGGTAGCTTGTGATTTGGTTTGTCTATGTTGTATGATGCTTGTTGTTGCTAGGGTAACTAGATTCATAGCTGATATGATAATTTTTAGATGTAGAGATGTTCTTAAGGTGGATGATGAAGGTGTAAATGATGATTCCTTAGATCCCTAGTTGCATGTCCTCTTTATTGTTGGAAATGGGTTACATATGATGTCTATATGTTAGATTTTGCATTGCATATGTTTGATTCTCAAATTCATGTGTGAATTTAGAGCTAGTAATAATGATTGAGTGGTTATTCTTGTTGTTTTTTTTTGAAGATTATGAAGATTATGGGTAAACTCTCTCAAAGCGAAAACAAAATCGCTCCAAGATGAAGTTAGATAAAAACACATAGAAGGCGGGTTGAATATGTGTGTATGAACAAATGAATTTTAACACCGTTTTCGCAAGAGACTCTTGTTCATCTAATAAAAATATGATTTCAAGCATTCAAAGACTATGCAAGATTTTCTTAGCAAAAGGTTTTGCATCTGAGAGTTTATCATCTTCTTCAAGAAAAATGCTTCTTAAAATAATAAGTTAAGTGCGTGTATTTTCAATCTTAAGATAGTTGCATTGAGAAATAAGCGATAGACAAAACTTTCAGTATAATAAATTAGTTAAACAAAATTTGCATCTACGTCTGATAAATAAATGAGAAGTGTAAAGTGTTTTATACTGGTTTGCTCAGACTGAGCTATATATGTCCAGTCTCCTTCAATAGAAGGGTTCCACTAGATATTCAATGAAGTACAAATATTATTTATTTAGCCTCTTTGAGCTAGCAATGAGTATTCTCGACCACTCCTGGTCCCGAGTATTATCAACCACTCCTGGTTTGTCAACTTCACTCATCGACGCTAGTATTCTTAAACCACTTCTAGTTCCCCAAGTATTATCAACCACTCCTGGTTCGTCAACACATGGCCGAATTTTTTAATGAGCTATCCCCACCTGGAAACTTCGAGGATCATTCATGGACCATGAATGTCAACGGATCCTCCAACTATCAAGGTAGTGGTGCGAGCATCATCTTGGAAAGCCCCCACAGTATCACCCTAGAAAAATTGTTGCGCGTCAAATAACTAGGTCGAATACGAAGCATTACTTGCAGGAATGAGGTTGGTGGCTGAGATGGGGGTTCACAAAATCGTGTGTTGGACGAACTCCAAAGTGGTTGCCGAGCAGGTGAACGACAACTTCCAGGTCAAAGACTCTAATTTGCTAAAATACTACCACCTTTTCTAAGGAATGTGCAGTCAATTTCGCGATGTGCAAGTTGGACACACACCATGTGACAATAATGAAAGAGCTTATCAGTTGGCTCGACTGGCAAGCAACCAGAAGCCGGGGCAGCCGGAAGTCGGGGCAGCTCTGAACCACCATTCATTTAGAACTACCCACCCCAAGTGCCACACAGGAATGCATGCCGGTGGAGGAACCCCCAAAGTCATGGATGATCAACCTCTTGAATTTCATTATTAGTGGCACAGAACCATCCGAGCCGAGTGAGGCCTAGAAAATACGAATACAAGTGGCATGATATTCTATTATTTTTGGAGAGCTTTACAAAAGAGGTTCCTCTACCCCTCTATTAAAGTGCATCGACCCGCAACAGGCCAATTACGTCATGCGGTAAGTTCACGAGGGCGTTTGTGGATGCCACTCAAGAGGCAGAACTTTGGCAACCAAGGTGTTAAGAGCCGGTTACTATTGACCGACTCTAAAAACTAACTGTGCCAGATATGTGAAGAAATTTCTACAATGCCAACAACACGGTAACCTCATACATGCCTCGACCAAAGAGCTGCACAACATCAGTTCCCTTTGGCTGTTTGCTTTGTGGGGCATTGATATACTTGGCCCGTTCCGGCTCGCCAAGGGATAATGCAAGTTTCTTTTGGTAGTCGTGGATTACTTCACTAAGTGGATTGAGGCCGAACCACTTGCTTCCATCATGGCCGCCAACGTTTTGAAGTTTGTCTGGAGGAACATGATCACTCGCTTCAGCATTTTGTATGCTATCATCTCGGACAATGGGCTTCAATTCACTGATTATAAGTTCAATACCTTCCTCTCGAACCTTGGCATCCGACACAGATTCACATCTATCAAACACCCTCAATCCAACGGAAAAGTCGAGGCCGCCAACAAGGTGATCCTGACTAAATTAAAAAAGTGACTTGGCAACGTGAAGGGAGCTTGGGCTGAGGAGTTACCTGAGGTGTTATGGGCTTATCGATGCATGCCCCAATCGAGCACTAAAGAAACCCCTTTTCACTTAGTATACGGATCAGATGCTATGATTTCGGTGGAAGTTGGAGAACCATCGTTCCAACGAGTGCACTTTCACGAAGAGTCTAACGATAACTCCCTCCACGCCGAGCTGGACCTTCTAGACGAAGTTCTCACAAACACACAAATTGTAGCTGAGGCATGCAAGCAACGAATGACTTGATGCTTTAATTCCAACTTAAAGCCGAGAGTCTTCCATGAAGGGGATCTAGTTTGGAGAGTGAAAGGGTTAGCATGCTGAAACCCCGCAAAAGGAAAGTTGTCAGAAAATTGGGACGGCTCGTTCCGAGTTCGGGACACTCTCAACAATGGGGCATACAAGCTCGAAGAACTGTTCGACAAAGTCATCCCAAGGACATGAAACTCCACCCATTTGAAGACATACTATAGTTAAGTTCAATTTATGTTGTATCTACACTCTCCATGCAAATGTATTACGGGGCACTCTTTTCCTTGACCAATCTTTTTTACCCTTAACAAATCATGAAAAGGGGTTTTTGGCCGGCAAGGTTTTTTACGAGGCATTAATTCATCAATGAAATAAATACAGTTCATGATTATTTATGGTTTAGTAATCCTTTACAAGTCTTCCCTCCTGATATTCCTCTCGGCCAAGGATGTGGCTTACTAAATTTATTTACAAGTCTTCCCTCCCGAGATTCCACTCGGCCAAGGATGCGGCTTAAGTTACTAAATTTATTTACAAGTTTTCCCTCCCGAGATTCCTCTCGGCCAAGGATGTGGCTTACTAAATTTATTTACAAGTCTTCCCTCCCGAGACTCCTCTCGGCCAAGGATGTGGCTTAACGTATTTATTTACAAGTCTTCCCTCTCGAGATTCCTTTCGGCCAAGGATGTGGC